CTTGTATGGTTGTATCCCTGGAAAAATATGTGATTTGAAGAAGGAGAGACAGCCAGTGATGAGCATGTTATAGTCCTTCTGATCTGGAGTCAGAGGTGCTACCATTGAGCAGTGTTATAGTTATCTGCTAGATTTAGAATCATGGTCTCTTAACAAATGTAAGTATTGCCCTATATATTGCTATCTAACGCAATAGTTAATGTGCCTCCTACTTTGCAGTGCAGGTGGTGGCAAGCCCAGCTGATCTCATCAAGGTAAGGATGCAAGCAGACAGCAGATTGTTGGCCCAAGGCATCCAACCTCGGTATACAGGGATCTTAGACGCCTTCACGAAAATCACCCGTGCAGAAGGTCTGTTAGGACTTTGGAAGGGGGTTGGTCCTAATGCCCAGCGAGCATTTCTTGTCAACATGGGCGAGTTGACCTGCTATGACCAGGCAAAGCATTTCATCATCCGCAAGCAGATCAGCGACGATAACTTGTATGCTCACACACTAGCCTCTGTTGCCTCTGGTCTGTGTGCGACTACATTGAGCTGCCCAGCGGATGTGATCAAAACCAGGATGATGAACCAGGGCCTGGAGGCGAAGGCTCTATACAGGAATTCTTATGATTGTTTGGTCAAGACCGTCAAACATGAGGGCCTGACAGCATTGTGGAAGGGCTTCTTACCTACATGGGCCAGGCTTGGCCCCTGGCAGTTTGTGTTCTGGGTTTCCTACGAAAAACTCCGACAAGCATCAGGTATTTCTTCGTTCTGATAGTGCTGGCTGAGTTTTCATGCAAGAGGCATACGGATCAAAGACACTGTTATTTCTGAACCTTTAGGCTGTGGCTACGTATTACTGTGCCCTTGTGCATTTACGTTTAAATTGGGCCTGAACTCTGTATATCTGATGGTGCAGCAGCCAGCGCATAGATTTGTCATCCCTTACAAATCACATTTTCTCATGCTCTTCCTTTTGGGTGCTATTTATGCACTCCCTGTTCAGACAAGAATTCGAAAGCTCGCCCTTTTGTGTTCATGTGCGCACAAGCAGTCATCTTGCTCTGCAGAGCTGTTGCAGGTGGTTGGTATCTCTTGCACCACAATATGTGTATGTGTGCAGACCAGGTCGCTTCTGTCCAGTTCTTTTGAGGAGCTCAAGTGGATCCTCGGAGCCATTTGCCAGGGCGATGTACCTGCTCTATCATCTTCGTAGAACAGCGACTCATGAGCATTCGAATTAGATGCAGGGAGGAATCCAAGTCGTTGCGGGAATCCGTTAAGCATGCGCATAAACAAGGAGGTAAATCCCGGTAGGCACATAAAAATTACTCCCTCTGTAAAGAAATACTCCTACTAACTACTGTACTAGTGATCTAAACACTCTTATATTTATTTACAGAGGGGGTACAACCAATTCAAACACCCTTACAAGTGTAACACAGACTGAACTGTAGTGCTGGGCAATTATCAGCAGTTCCTATGGCCATCTAATTGAGCAGCGTGGAGGCAAAGAATCCATGCTTTGTCCTCTTGCCCATATTGTCAAAATCTAGAGACAAGGAAAACCATAAATTTTGCCAGCTGGAAGAGTGAGCCGTCACGTCATTCACAAGGAAAACAGGGGTACAAAGAAATGGTGAACATGTCCTGTTTACTCACAGCTAATCCTTAGGTGTTAATTACAGTATTGAATCATGGAAGATACGGCATGATTCTAACAGGGAACGGGCCGAGTGACCTTAATTCAGATCTGCCCAAAATGAAATTCAGGATCTCACAGCTAATCCTACTTGACAAATACAATGCCGCGGCTATGTGTCACACTTCTATACGATGGATAATTTACATGATGGCTGGCTGACCTTAGAAGAGAACAGCCGTTCTTAGTTAAACATGCCTTTGGCCTGAGAGAAAGCCCACTGAACATGTTGGTACCACCAGGCAATTCCCTTTGCTCCATAGCATTACAAGACGAGTATCTTGTGCTTTGGCTCTTCAACACAGGTCCCTCCCTCCCTGTCAATCCAGTTGTTCATCTTACATCCTAACTCCATGATAATACATCTAACAGATCAACCATTGCAAGAATGCCAAGTGTCAGCTATGCATCGGTCTTTCGGAATATCGTTAGATGGTTGCTTCAAGATGACTCTTGCCCTCGGTTACTACTCGCTTGACCCACTGTTTCTTGAGGAGGAATCTGCAGGTATAGCAAGATTTATTCCAAATGTGGCTTTCAACCTCACAAATAGCTCACAAGATGGTGGAAGATATAATACCGCGTGAGGGCCGCTTTCCCTCCATTGCTTCTTTCTTTTCCTGGCAACTGTGACAAAGGAACGGACCATCCCAGGGACACACCTTTCCTGGCTTTGACAAACCCTCGTGTATCGATATCCCTTGACCAGACTCTAGCTCTACTTGACAAATTGCACATACAAAGAGCTTGAACATATTTCGGACTGGATACTCGGAGTCTAGCCTGCATTCACCAGAAGTAAAATGTCAGCAATTAATAGACAATGACAATAAAAAAGTTTGAATGAGACCCAACTGGTAAGGCATTCAGCTTCATAAGGTGTTTCCACATAGAGCGAAACAGGCGCTTTGCTTTTCTGCTTGTTTGCGTTTTCATCTCACCCCTGAAACTCTAGAACCGCTTGAATTACAACCTCAAACTATTGAAATATCCACTTTTTACCCTCAGCTGGTTCCATGAGTAGTTTTGGGTGGCAGGCCGTCCAAGCATTGCCATGCCACTACCGTGGAGAAACAAACACTACGAGAACAAGCAATATAAGACAAACAGAACCATTGGGATAAAATAACTTCCACAAAAGAGAAAATACTTAGAAGCCAGAGAAAAATAGTACAACAACAAAGCCGTTCAGTCCCAAAGAAATTGGGGTAGGCTAGAGTTGAAACTCGTAAGATCTCGAAACCAAGTCATGGATAGCTAACTTCCACGCAATCCTGTCCATGGCTAGTTGAAACCCTGTCCATGCTTGAGAGAAAAAAAGGCAAAGGCAAAGTTTTTTTTTACGATGTGGAAGTGAGGTTGCAGACCTGTGGCATCCATGTGGGCCGCAAGGCACTTGTGAAACCACTTGAGGTGAAACTGAAGCATTTCAATAGTTCAAGGTAGTATTTTAAATGGTTTTAAAGTTCAGTGTTGAAAAGTGAACTTTCGCCATAAGTTTAGGATTGGATGGTTGACATTTCTTTCTCTTTTGATGTTTGTGTCAAGTTCTGGATGAACACTATGGTTGGGGAGTTTGAGTTGTCCCGTTGTTGTGATGTTGTCAATCTATGGTGGAACCCAACAAGGCATATGGCAAAATATGGTGTTTTCACGAGACATGACAATTGTTGCCAATCAAACATCGAATCATATTTTTTGACAAAATAATCTTGAAGGACTGAATCCAAATATTTAGCAATGCTACAAAAGAAGTATAGCGTCCTACAATAATAATTGTCGAAAGAAGACTTGTTGCCTGGTTGATAAAATGTAATGCTAGCCAAATATACTAAATTAAACACAAATGTAACATGTGGTACCCAATCACAGCAACACCTGTACCAACCTGACTTCAGTCTAAAGGGCTATGCCCTGTTTCATTGAATGGTAAGGTGTTATATAGTAGAAAACCCATACCCAATGCTCAATCGAAATGATATTTTCTATTAGATGTATGGCATCGACCGTTGTCACAGAATCTAACAGAACCTGTGTTCCAGCATATACAATTTCAGCCTGCAGAGTAAGGTCTCTTCAGTTGAATATGACAAGGTGTAACTCAGGTGACATCTTCAGCTCAAATGGTATGTCACATGTTACCAAAAAGCTAAACCACTGCTAAACTCAGGTTTCCCAAGTACGAGTTATTGTTTAGTCAGGAAGCTTTGGGTTCACCATATAATTGTGTGTGAACTAGTATGGATCCATCGACACAATGGAGAAAGGGAACATACCATCTTAGCAGAGATGGGCATCCATCCTCAAAGACTTCCTCCACCAAGTCGGGCTCAGAAGTACGCTCCGTATCAGCACGTGATAATGTGTCTGATGTTCTTTTTCTGATGAATATATTTTTCAAAAGACTAAAGCCATTCCGTGCCTTCTTTCGAGAATGTATAGTGGATTTCGGTTTTTCTGGCGGTATTATGTCAATAACAATACAAGTTGTATCATCCCTTAATCCTTTTGCATCCACTGCTTCCTGCAAAAGATCAACAGTAAATAACAGTTTTATTCTAATGCACAATGACACACGGTACAAACTGAGGATTCCAGGTTGTGTGCCAGAAATGAGGGGTTAAGTGGCTGTACTTTGACAATTTGATCCGCTGCAGCCTCTGGAGGAAGCCCTCGTGCGCAACTAAAAGCCATTTCCGCAGTCAAGGCATCCCAAACACCGTCACTTGAAATAATTAGACGACCTCCAGCACTAGATAGCTGCAGCAAGCATTAGAAGACATTAGTATTTCGAAAATATGATTAAAAAATCTTCAGAAAAACACTTTATTATGCCGACTTTTCACACATGGGTGCAGACAAAACTTTTTGCAAAATGCACCTTGTATATTTCAAAAGGCAATAGGGATTTTGTGTAGATGTGCCACATACATGTGCACTTGAGAAACATCAAGCAAAAATATGAACTATTGTGAACCACAAAAATCTGTACTGCTACAAGACACTTGGTATGTTTGCAATATGTCATATCTTTTCTGTACAAATACACAAAATAGAACTAGGATTTTTTTTCAGATGGTGTTGAATTTTACAGGTTGTGCTTCTGCAATAGGTTGCAGAAGCACCCATGTCTATCAAATTTACACAAAAAGGACATTTCACGAAGTGACAAGAAAATAAAGATGACAAAGACAACGAGAATATTCAGACAGTAGAACTTCTGGTGCCTATCACTTTTATTGTGACGTTTTGAATTTGGTTCTGTATAGAACAGACATGAAGAATTTTTTACCTTGATCTGCTTCACAAAAGGAACAGGAATGATAAATTCACCAACATCCTGATCACCAATTGATCTTGATAGGCATAAACCTCCTGGCCAACATCTAAGGGGGCCAATCTGGTTGGGCAATAAAGGAAAGAAGGGTCAAGCTAAAGGTGTGAATCAGACCTATTAACACAATTGTGGTTCAGGGAAACATGAGAAAATATATATACAACATATGTAATCGGGATAATGTGCAAGCGCAAAGTTTTGAAATGAACCACCGAACGGTGAACACTCAACGGCATGTAGAGTAAGGCACTCATTAAAATTCCATAGGTACACAAAATATGGAAAGAGTGGTTCTAAACCAAAATTAGTACTTGTATAATAAGTAAGTCGATTCATTAGTCCCCACAGATTAAAATTACAAAGAAACTATCGAACAATTAGAAAGGGGCGAATTTGAAGTAAACAGCAAGCCCTGGTCGCCAAATGAAAATTCCACGCTTAATAACTTGCTACAAGTCAAATCAGTCGCTAACGGATAGCAACACTTTCGTAGCTACATCTTTCCAAAGTCATCAAAATATAAAGATTCAACTTTAGAAAGTTCCTTGGCTGCCAACACGTAAAATAGAGGGAAAAACTTGAGCAGAAGCAAAAGATGAAGAGCAAAACCTCAGCTCCACCAACAATATTTAGCCTGCCAACTTCACCTCCACATTCTGTTACACGTCCAACTCTACAAATGGAAACCAAAAAGTGATAAGAAGCAGCGACATATATTCATGAATAGAGCAACGGAATTGATGAATTTGTGATATAGTATAAACAAATCTTACTCCTCCCCGCTAGCATCAAAACGATGATCAGCCGACAAGTAGTAAATTGAACCCTCTGCTTCAAGGACACATCGAGAATCACCGACGGATGCGGCGGTCACAACGGAGCCGTCGATTATGACGAGCGTCACGGTTGTCCCCGAAGAGTGCGCTGAAAGGCAGGAGTGGACAAACAAGGTTCAGCACTGGTACTACTGTACCGGTGTACCAGGAGAGCATGGACATGCACAAATTTGAATTGATGACCTCCCAACTGAGGTGGGCATAGAGCTGTGTGTACTTGTAGACATGGCAGTAATTGGTGGTGGTAGTAGTACTACACTAGGAATGGAGGGTCTTAATTAGCTCCATGTATAAATGGTCGCAGGGGATTTGACCTCTTGTCTGGAAATCCTTGTCGGTCTTGACGAAGCCGGCGACGAGCGCCCTGGGCAGCGCGGCGAGCCACTCGTCCCTGGTGAGGTGGGCGGGGACGCAGCCGAGCACATTGGCGAGGAGCCGCTCCTTGGCGTAGACCGCGGCGGCGGCCCCGTTGTGGCCGTCGAACATCTGCAACCAGGCAGGCACCTGTCAGAGCAGATCACCGGGCGAGATGAACAAGTGAAATGCAGCGGACGCGTGGGGAGGGGGAGCTTACGGCGAATGCGGAGAAGGAGGCGCCCGGGTGGCGCTCGCAGCCCTGCTTGAGCAGCGCGTAGTCCTCGCCCTTCCTGGCCCGGGCCGCCTGCCCCGCCGCGACCCCGGGCCGCTCGCCCCCCGCCGCGTCGGCCCGCTCCGCCGAGGCCTCCCGCAGCAGCAGGTCGGCGAGCGCCATGCTCCCGTGGCGCCGCCGGGGCGTCCTCGCCTCCGCCACCGCCATCGTCGCTCAGATCCCCGCCGCGGATCCTGCGCGCATGGCAGGCGGGCAGGCGGGCGGGCTAGCTGGGTGGGCGAGAGAGAGCACGCGCGCGGGACGGGTCTCTGGGTCGCGCTGGCAGGCAGGCAGGCAGGCAGGAGGGTTGGCCTGGCGGTGCGGTGCGGTGGTGGTGTGGTCGGGTAGCAAGCGGCCCCGAACCTTTCCGCTGGCTTTTTTGCCTGGGCGCGCGCGAGCTGTTGCTTTGCGGGATCGGCGAGGGTGGTGGGGGTGGGGGGGCCGGCACTCACATGGGGCGCGCCGCTCCGGGAGAGAGAGAGAGAGGAAGACGACGCGCAAATCCAGCCCGCTCCCACGCGCGCCGTCCCCGGCCGGACAAATTTATTGCGCGCCACCAATCAGGTCGCCCTGCCTTGCGTTTTTAACGGACGCGCCGCGGCAGGCAGCCAGGTGGGCCGCCTCTGGCTCTGCCGTTGTCACACCACGAGGTCCGGCATTTTTCTTTTTCCTTTTTTTTTGGTAGACAGAGAAGAGAAGAGAAGAAGGCGTCGTCGTCTACGTGCCCGATCGTAGTCCCGAGTGAGTCCCGTGAGTATCTACAAAAACGAGTTTGGACTATGCATGGTTGGATCGACATAGGGGAAGAGGACGTGGAAAAGTAGCAGCAACAGGTGGCTGCGACCTTGATATATTCTGAAATTGGCTTCACCAAAGTACCCCACTTTAGAAAATCTTATACCTAAAGTTTGTATGTGCGACCATTTGCTTGGAAGTTCACCGGTGTGAGTTCCCCGTTGGCTAAGAGCATGTACAACCGAACTTTGCAAATCTGGCCCCTCAAACGTCCACGAACGCGGACAGTAACCGGTCATGCCTCAAATTAGCCATTCTACATTCGTCTCTCATATTTCAACCTTTAGATTCATAGAGAGCATGGTGGCGGGCAGTGTGTGCCATGGCCTCCTCCTCGAGTGGGTCAGGCGGCGCTCTCGGTGGATGGTTCCTTTTCTGTTCATGATGGCTCCGAAGCGACTGGTATGGTGCTACGACGTCATGATGGTTCGGTCATCTTTGCTGCTTATAGGGTTTTATTCAGATGCAATGATGCTCTTGAAGCGGAGATCCATGCGCTTATGCAAGGCATGGCTTTAGCTCTCCAACACACAGAACTGCAAGTGATCGTCCAGTCAGATTCAATTGAGGCTTTGTCCATCTTATCAAATGAGAATCTCTCACGTTCAGCTTATGGGCACTTGGTAGTTGAGATCAAGGCCCTGATGGAGGAGAGGGGGTTTATTCCCCAGAAGATTTGTAGGGATCAAAATAGGGTAGCAGATTGTCTGGCTAATTGTAGTCGTACTGCTGTTTGGCTTTAGAGAGGCCCTCCATGTATCGAGGATCTCTTCCCAGTAGATTGTAATCCTATAATTTTGGAATAAAACTCCTCTTTGCCGCAAAAAAAAAGACTCATACAGAGCATGCAAAAAAATAAACCCCTGCGTGCTACTATTTGGCGCCGACTGGACGGGCGGGTAGGAGGGTTGTGGCTCATCCTCCTCCTGCTCTACCTCATCCATGTAGGCGAGCATCTCCGCCCCCTCCGCGGCCTGCTGCGCCTCCATCTCTTGCTGGCGGCGGCGTCTGGCCTCCGCAGCCGACCCCGACCGGAGGGAACCGAGGATGGCCTGCTGCTCCGCCTGCAGATCCGCATCGCCAGCGTCTCCCACATCCTCTCCTCCTCCTCCTCCAACTCCTCTCCCGGATCACTACATCCGGAGGCAGCTCCGCGGCGATCCAGGCTTCGCGCCTAGCCCAGATCTGCTCAAGGAGCTTGAGCCGGCGCTCCAGCGTCAGAAATGGCTCGCTCCTCACCCGGTGGCGTGGGGCATGGCTACTAGGCGGACAGGTGGAGTGGAAAGTGGCGGCGACACCGGATAGGTGGAGGGAAATGTGGATGGATGGTAGGGTTTCGGTGCCGCCGATCGTCTTAAATAGCCAAGCTAGGCACTACGCGGCCCGCCGGAGCTGCGCCACATGGCGCCAGCAGTCCGATGGAGGAGACGGGCTTCGGACCGTCGGGTTCCCGGGCATTTCCAGGTGGGTCCCCGCCGTCAGTCCGACGTGGCGGGCGCGCCCAAATCCGTCTCATGTTTGGGCTGGATATGAGGGGTGCCGATCAGCCCGGGCGTTTGAGACCTGTTTGAGGCATCCGTCTGGATCAAAAATGAAGGGAATATGCCCTAAAGGCAATAATAAAGTTGTTATTTATATTTCCTTATATCATGATAAATGTTTATTATTAATGCTAGAATTGCATTAACCGGAAACTTAGTACATGTGTGAATACATAGACAAAACAGAGTGTCCCTAGTATTCCTCTACTTGACTAGCTCGTTAATCAAAGATGGTTAAGTTTCCTAGCCATAGACATGCGTTGTCATTTGATGAACGGGATCACATCATTAGAGAATGATGTGATGGACTAGACCCATCCGTTAGCTTAGCATTATGATCGTCTAGTTTTTTGCTATTGCTTTCTTCATGACTTATACATGTTCCTATGACTATGAGATTATGCAACTCCCGAATACCGGAGGAACACATTGCGTGCTATCAAACGTCACAACGTAACTGGGTGATTTTAAAAATGCTCTACAGGTGTCTCCAATGGTGTTTGTTGAGTTGGCATAGATCGAGATTAGGATTTGTCACTCCGTATATCGGAGAGGTATCTCTGGGCCCTCTCGGTAATGCACATCATTATGAGCCTTGCAAGCAATGTGACTAATGAGTTAGTCACGGGATGATGCATTACGGAACTAGTAAAGAGACTTGTCGGTGACGAGATTGAACTAGGTATGATGATACCGACGATCAAATCTCGGGCAAGTAACATACCGATGACAAAGGGAACAACGTATGTTGCTATGCGGTTTGACCGATAAAGATCTTTATCGGTGTCAAAACCGGCGGATCTTGGGTAGGGGGTCCCGAACTGTGCGTCTAGGATCGATGGTAACAGGAGGCATGGGACACGATGTTTACCCAGGTTCGGGCCCTCTTGATTGAGGTAAAACCCTACGTCCTGCTTGATTAATATTGATGATATGGGTAGTACAAGAGTAGATCTACCACGAGATCGGAGAGGCTAAACCCTAGAAGCTAGCCTATGGTATGATTGTTGATGTGTATATGATCTATCGACTAGCCTGGCCCTGGTTTATATAATGCACCAGAGGCCTAGGTTAACAAGAGTCCTAGCCGAATACGCCGGTGGGAGAAGTCCTTGTCTTGATCGCCAAGTCTTGTGGAATCTTCCTTGTATGCGGCAGCTGTCCGAACTGGCCCATGAGTATACGGCCACGGGGGTCCTCGGCCCAATCTATTAGATCGGGAGATGACGTGGTGGGTACCCCCTAGTCCAGGACACCGTCAGTAGCCCCCTGAACCGGTCTTCAAGTTAGGGACGCTCCTCTTCCGAACTGTTCTTCATCTTCGATCGTCGGTCTTGAAAACTGGTTCAACAAATCTTCTTTATCTTCGATCTTGAGGATCGCCGAAATTCATTCGACGAGTTTACACATCGGGTATATGAGGAGCCCCTTTAAGTTTCCGGCCTTTACCAATGCCTTGTTATTTTTATGCCACACCTCGGGTTTGAGGTTGTTCCCGGGCGGCAGCGTCCTCTTGCGTCCGAGCTCCAATGCTGGACTGTATTCGAGGTATCTTTTGCAACCGAGCACCAACGCCGGACCGCTTCCCAGCTCCAACGCCGGACTGTATCCGAGCTCCAACGCCGGACTATATCCGAGGTGTCGTAAATCACCTTGGTTCAAAGAAGTTTGAAGGAGTTTAGCCGAGCTTAATGCCGGAAATGCCCTCTATGGAGCCAGCCACTAGCGCTCGAGCTTTATGCCGGGCTGCTTCCGAGGTGGTGCACCACCCTGAATGTGGGCCGATTTTTGTGAATATTTTTTATTGGTGCAATTTATTCTCTGCCGAGATATATAGCCAGTAGCCCTCAAGGTGTGTATCGGTCTAAAACCCGAGATGCACCTGAAGGATGACGTAAGACCGCTGATCCCAGTAGCCGCTGAGACCCAGGTTGATTTGCAAAATCGGCCTGAGGATCAAGTCCAAGCTCGGCAGAATACTTCGGGACACTAAAAGCGGCGTGCTCAGTCCTCGAGACTCGGTTGGGTGCGGCCGACCATCCTGAGGATCAAAATCTCCTCGGAAACTATATTGCACATAAAATTTTCTGCATTGGACAAGCAATGCAGTAGCCCCCGAGACACTGGTCGGGTGGTAACACCAGATCAGGGGATCAATGTGCCCCTTTAATATTTGTAAATAATAAGCCCAAAGCCCAGTAGCCCCCGAGCCTTAATGCGGGCATGGGTGGCCGAATTAAGGATCAATATCCATAGTAAAATCACAAATTATGTGTAATGACTCTATGTATCCAAGTACTTCACGTCATTAATGCTCGGATCCGCATTGTACAAAACTTTGTTGACCGACCATCGGCTTCCACCTCCTCGGCCAGTAGCCGAGGAGTGTTTGTCCTACTTTATAAGGCCTTTATGAGGGCAAAGATTTATAACAAACAAGGCAATCTGGCCATACGGTTTTATAAACAAAGGTACGCAGAGAGTTATATTACTGTTTAATAGAAGAAATGTCTTCCAAAGAAAATAGTCCCGCTATCGGTTCCTTTCTGGGTTGTCATGCTAAGCATGATCATTAAACCTCAGCTCTAATGTAAGAGCAAAATATTGAGGATTTAGTTTGGGAGGCCAGTTAATAGCCCCCGGTAGTGTTCGGCGACAGTCGGGGTCAAGCCGTAAACACTTCGGCCAATGTTATGAACGACCCATCATTTAACATAGTCATCGGATCGCTGACCAGTTTACGCTTATTGTAAAAGTCAGTTTTCAGCTTTCTCCACTGAGGTGCTTAACCATGTGAGCTGGAAGCACAATCGCAGTGGTTCTCCCTTTGCA